ACAACTTGACAAATAATATAAGACGCTTGACAAATATAATCAATGTCAGTATGACAGATAAGCTAACGAATCGCGAAATTCAAATAATTGCAAACAATTAGCATTATCGATTATTTATATAATAAGGAGATATGACTTCCATCTTTTCAAACGTATAGTGTACTCCTCCCTCAAAGGCCGGCAACGCACCCACAAAAAATGGGTAGTTGCGATGACTCCCCTTTTTGGGCGTCCCGTATGCTCGATTGCCCTCCTATTGTATAATTATACATATGTATATTTATAATTTCTTTTTTTAATTTATTTCTGCGATAGTAAAAACACGTAGCATTTTAATTTACAATTCGTCGTTTGTGTAAAATACTAATATTTCATAAATTCTTTTTACGAAATTATAATTTTAAAAATAGAATTTCTATAAGGTTATTCGCCCTTTTCACTCTCTCTCAATCGGTCTCAATCGCTCTCTCCCTGTTCTTCGACAAAAACGCTGCACATCTTCATTGCGTTAAATCCGTAAAAATTTACCCTCATGCGCCTAAAGAAATTCTACACAACTCTTAATTTAGATTTATTTATATATTAACACTTCGTTGCATATACATTAATATAGTACAATTGACATAATTAAATAAAAAGGAGAGCAACTGGCGGAGATTTACTGTCAGTTCAACAGAGCGAACGGCCAAAAATAACTAATATAATAACGAGGAACTCCACTCAGCCGTCTACACAACATCGTAAAAGCAAAGTAAAACCAGTAACCATCGTTGTCTTTATCCGATAAGTTATCAAATGAGGTTTAGTCGCAAAAATCATGTGACAATAATAATCCATTGTTCGGTTGTCTGGACTTATTTGCCATCATGGCGATTTTTATTGAGTCTTCATGAAAGCCGAGGGCAGTTATCAATTAAATAAGTATTTTTAGTGAGATTTTATATAAAACATTAATTTGCGCGCGTTGTGTGTGGCACATTTTTGTACCATATTCTTGCAATAAATAAATTCATCATCAAAAATCATCGTGATGCAACCAATAAGTCTGATCCAAAAAAACTTGAACCCAATACAACTTCCTTGAAAGATTATAGAACTTTAAATACTAGCCGTGGCGCTATACTACCAACGGTACACACTAACAGGATTGTTCAACAAATGAAAACAATAGTTATTATTTCTGTAGAGCATAACAAAAAGTTTGCCTTACAACCATTGTTCTATCCATGACGAGTTCTATAATTGTTAGGGATTTATTAATAATGTTGGTACAGGTAAAAATCTCGGGCTGGTTATGGAATTCAAACAATACCGAAGGACGCCTAGTGGTCTTTTTAAAAATCTTGTGCATTAAAAATCGCACCTTTTTGTTGCGTTGCGGATTACACTAAGCAGTATTGGCCTAGTGGCTTCAGCGTGTGGCTCTCATCCCTGAGGTCGTAGGTTCGAACCCTGTCTGTGCACCAATGGACTTTCTATGTGAGCATTTAACATTCGCTCGAACGGTGAAGGAAAACATCGCCAGGAAACCGGCTTGCCTTAAACCCAAAAAGTCGACGGCGTGTGTCGGACTAACTTGCCTATTAGATTTACAAATGATCATGAAACAGATACAGAAATCTGAGGCCCGGGCCTAAAAAGCTTGTACAGCCACTGATTCAAATTACGTCGAGTCAACGTTTACGAATAAGAATTCATGGCGTGTTTTAGCTTCGTAATAATAGATTTATATTCGAATTCAAATGGATAATAAAATTAAATTTGTATATTTTGTTGTCTAGTAGATAATGAGTTACCGCTTGGTAAAGCCTGCACTATCGAATCTTTAGTACAGTTAGGTTAATCTATTCAAATTTCAAAGCCTTTATTTCTACTAATACAAGAGTAAACTTTACAAAATATAAATGTATATAAAAAGTTCTTTAGGATGGTTTTGTTGCACAGTTGTCCTCTTGTACAGCTTGCCTTTGTGGCACAAAGGCCTCCTCCAGCTGTTTCCAGTGCTTCCTAACCCTGGCAAGTCTTTGCCACAGAGGACCAGTGGCTTTTTTAAAGTCATCAGCCCACCGCGCACATGGTGGGTTAATCTATAGTTCGTTGTAAAAGTAAAATTGTTACATGGCTATGATACCAATTCGGCAGTACTACAGTTCCTTAGCTTCAATGTACCTGGTGGGTACGGAAGGCGACATCATCCGCCGTTACTTCTGTGCCCACAGCTAGGACTAAATTTCTGAAAAGGGCACATACTTGCTGTATTACATTAGTCAATTATAGGTCCTTTTTTATTGACCGATGAGTGAACTGACAAAGTTCTACCATTTTGTAGTGCCTATAATAATTATTTAATTCTTTAGCTTGTTTCCTAATAAATTCCTTATGTTTGTTTTGTATGTCGTATGTGATTTTTTTTATTGGTTATGCACTATTGTTGATATAGGGCACCTGTTGGGACAAGAATGTGATTTGCATCTACATTGTGTGCGAAAATTACAATTATTTAGCCGCGTAAAGCGGTCATGCACCTGCTTTTGTAATACTCCGGTGAAGCCGGATTTTCATCCCATGGTCGTTTGTGGTTCATTAATTGAGTGTTGTTCCCACGAGAACCTTTTTCACCATGCCTCTTGCTGATAGAGGACAATTTTTTATTTTATTATTAGTACTAATTACTTAAGAGCTTAAGAAACTATTAATTACTTAAGATGTCACGTGGAACATGGTGTAATAGTTGCAGCTCCTTACAAACATTGTGTAAAACAAAAAACTTGGCGATTAAAAAGAGTGGCGGAGAGTTTATTGCCAGTTCTTCTCTTCCGTTCTACGCCTTTGAGTTGAGAACTGGCAGTAAATGTAAAATTAGAAGCATTTAATATGTATTTCTTTTTTGAGGTTTATATGTATATATGAATAAATGATTTTGACTTTTAAAATAGATATCGCATTTTCTGAGCACCACACGGTTCAGTTGAAAAGCCTTCAACGATCTTTGAGATCCTAATTCATAAGAATACGAATTGAGAAAGTCCGTTTTTGAATCTTTCTTACAAAGATGGTTTAAATAAAACAACGTTTAAAAACAAAATAAACTATAATATAACTTTAACATTATCTACGTTAGGTTATTTCATAACGATATCTAACTGTTACATAGGAAATAGAATTATCTGTTTAGATTATAATCTATTTAAATAAATCACAAGTGACATTTGACTATCTATACAGTTTTAAAATTACTGCCCACTAAGAAAAAATAAACATTGTTATAGTATTAATAATCTGTAATTACTCAAGATAAGGTAAATTTTTACAAGTTTCATTTTATTCCATCTAGAATCTAATAGAACAATAATATTAGATACGTAAACTATGATTTAACAAAATGTTTGTGGCTATAGTAAAATAGGTGTAATTAAAAACAATTCCCTTGCATTCTATTTAATTTGAGACTTATAGTAACGGTATATAGAATTGTATCTCTTATATACATGATATACGAGTAAATCGTCATTTTGTGTGACATACGTAACATACTTTAAATTTAGCTAACGAACGTAAAGATCGAACCGATTGCTAATAGGCCGGCCATGCAATCGCGAGCCTTTGGTTAAAGTGGACGGAGCCAGTTAGCCCCCTGTTTTTTTGGTTAAAATACTATTAAATTTTATTTATAATATATAATTATATTTATAATCTTTTAATTTAATTATTAATTCTTACATTATGTGATGTTGCAACAATTTAAGCATATTAGAATTTAAAACAAATGTATAGAGAACTAGGCGCTACACGGTTTAGGATTTCTAGAAGTCTTCTCCACTTTGTCACTTCAAAGATTTAACTAAGGTAAAATTATAAGGTACAAATTTCTAAGCAAGGCCTTATACTAATCAACTCATTGTAACATTATAGAATATTCTACTTTTTAGATAGTATTTTAAAGGGGAACTACACTACACTATGTTTCAGTTACATAACACGATCTAGAGAATCAAAATTTTATCAATCGGCACTACTGTACTTCTGTATTTTCGTAGTAACAAATATTTTTAAAGTTATACTTCTTTAGGCGCGTTATGAAAAATTGATGCGAGTGAAATTTTACGATGCGCGCGTACCGTGACCCAAAATTAACAGAATGAAGTTGCCCACGGAAGATGCTACGGCATTGGACATTATTTAAAAACAACATTCGAATAATAATAGAATTTATGTTACACTTAATGTAAGAGAATAATAATAAATATTTATTTATATAATTATTCAAATGTAAACTGAACTTTATTGACTATAATGACTCCTTTTCCAGTCTTTGATTATTTAATTGTAATTAATTATTTGCATGCAATCAAAAACTATTTTTAATAATGCCAAAGAAGTATAACTTCTTATGCGCGTACATCAGTACACGCACCCTTTTTTTATTTTAGTTATCGTTAAGTCACTCAACCTAACTTACTTATAAATAATAGTCACCATTTTATTCTGCATTCAGTAATTCATAAAAATAAAGCAATCTACGGTGGGTTTCAGAGATTATTATAAAACATTCAGAAAGACAGGGCCATTACCAATTCCACCCAGTGCGGCATCCAAAAAGTAACCATGATCGCCAATCTTCGCAAGAAGATGGCACTATATGAGATTTCATAAAATACGAGAAGTGATTCGGGATCCTCTCTAATCTCAGTGTTTTTAGTAAGTGATAATTTTCTTTTAAAACTATACGGTAGTTTCTTGTTGGGGTCTTGAATCAAAATCGAGCACTAAAGTTCTTATAAGAAAGAATATTTTCTAAGTTATGTGCAGTAAGAGTACCGATGCTGCAATTAGGAAAAAATCCCTCCACACCGTGACGGATTCTCCTTACTATAAACGCCCCAATAGCAATGGCCCCAAAGTAAGATAAAATGTCTAAATTTCATAATTCTTACTGACTTGATAACACCTGCTTAAATTCTGTCATTTGACCACTCGAATGTTAAAAGAAATCTAATTAATCATATGTATTGGGCGAATTGGATCCAGTATGTTGCGTTTAATACAGAGAAAAGAAGAGGGAAGAAAACTCGTGAAAACCGATCAATGTTGATAGCACGCAGTTTCGCTTTGGCCGCTTCAGCTGGTTCCTGAAATATAGATTTTTTAATAAATTACAAAGTTCTATTTATTCTACCTAGTACATGCCTAGTACAAAGTTTGTTTAACGGACTTAATTAATTGACCCAAACCCTTTGCAACTGGGCGATGTGGTGAAACAGAACAAAAGTGTAAAAAGGGAAGAAAATACGAGCAGAACAATTATATCATCAAAATAAGGGACTCCTATAAGTAAAAAAAGAGACGCCCGCTAGCTCTTCAGCCCTGGAAGGTTCCATTTAAATGTATAAAAGTGAAACTTAACTTACAACTAATGCATGCACTATCCTTTCCTTAATAGAGACTGTAAGAATGTTATTACACTTTCTTAAGATTGTAATTTTTTTATGTAATAGGAGGCTCATCTGATATTAAGTGATAACATGCCCGTGGACACAAACATTGCCAGAAGGCTCGGAAGTGCGTTGCCGGCCTTTCAAGAATTGGTACGCACTTTTCTTTGAAGGACCCTAAGTCGAATTGGTTCGGAAATACTTCAGTGGGCAGCTAGTTCCACATAGTTAGTGGCGGCAAAAACTGCTTTAAAAAACGCTCAGTTGTGGAACGACGAACGTCGAGGTGATACGGATGGTATTTTGTATTCTGATGATGAAACTCAGCTTCACGTATTAGTCTGAACAACTCCGCTGAACACTTCTCAGTTCTTTAATAAATTGAAAGAACCTCGCTCTTACCTAATACCACTAATACCACAAGAAACTTAACTTTTACATCATCTTGCAACTTCTAATTACTTTAAAGTTTGCTTTAAAGCTTTAAAGTTAAGAAAAAGAAAGATTAAGTTCTAGTATTATAATTTGACATATGCGAAGAAAAATATTTTGATATAATTTTAAAGAATTCTGTATATTTTTTAAATCATATACCAAGTTCAGCTTAGAGCTTTGAGTCTAAAACAAATTTTCCAGTGTTTTTCGTCATACAAGCGAGTTACACAAATCTTATAGCGCGTTGGATGAGGTTTTATAAACTAAGTTGGGGTAAATTTGTTACAATTTTACTCACAGACACAACTTAATCATCGGACGGTGAGGTAGAATCCTAATTTCACCCGTATCCCTTAACGCTATAAGTTTATTTTATTTTTACCGATGTATTTCCGTACCAATTAAACTTAGTCCTTCAAGAAAAGAGCGTACTAATTCCTAAAAGGCCAGCACCGCACTAGCGACCCCCTAGCACTGAGTGTCCATGGCCAGCCGTATCACTTAACATCAAATTAGCCTCCTGCCCGTTTCCCCCCTAAAAAAAACTATAAAACAATAACATAGTGCAACGGATGGCCTTATCGCTTTTAATCGATCTCTTCCAGGCAACCTTACAAAAATAATTGTGAAGAAAAGCGTTACAAAGGCAAGGGCCCTACTAATAAAACAATAAAATATGATTTTAATGAATCTAAACTTAATATAGACAATATTCAAAGTCAAAGCGCGAATATGAATCTGATGTCAAAATGTCATTTGTCAACTGTCTAATTGTCAATCGTTTAATATCCATCTTATCGTGTAACTTAATTCATTCTCAAATAATTAACTAATAATATTACACTCAACTGTTAGAAAAATGGATATTTTCAAAGTACTGTACATTCTCGATTCATACATATCATAAAGACTTTGACCCGTTACATAATTTGTTCGCAATCAAAGGCATAGTCGGAACTCGGAAGTATGACTTTAGAGCAAATTCAACCCTTCCACAGTTCTTTGTGACATTTTCATTGTTCTTTGCTAGACTTTGAGAAGCATTCCTGTATTTAAAAAGTTAAGTGTGAGAAAAATATTGTTATAAGTTTTGTTCAGAAATTAAATATCAAAAGTAAGGTCTAAAGCTGCAGGATGTAATTCAAATTAAAGTGTTTTTCATTGTCTAATTATTAGACTCTAATAGTATGCGTTACCTTTGGTTTTCGCCCGCCGTCATCAAGTATGATGTTGACCAGACAATACTCCATCAGTGCCATGAACACGAAACTGAAAATAATTAACAATTATTAAAACAAATTCAGGAAATAATATGGGAAATAAGAAATAGTTGTCTGTAAAGTCGGTTTACGGAACATACGTATAGTTTAACGTGAAACAAAACATTGATGAAATGATTGCATACTTTTATGAATAAAATGGAATCATATTTATTAAATTATCACTATTCTGTATGAATACAAAGAAGGAGTGAATCCTCGAACACATAGGCCAATCAAGTGGAAGAGAGATAACGGGACAATAAGCGTAACGGGACAATGACTCGTGCTTTTTCGTGTGTGCCGGTGTTCGTCGATTTATTACACTTTGTCACGTCAAAAAGGAATAAATATTTAAGTGAGGACATAGATAAATTCTGGAGTAATTATAACTATTTTGTTGTTAATATGACGTCAGACTTGACAACAATCACTTAAATGTTCGCGATAAAAACAAGAGTGTGGGAAAAAAATGCTCAAGATAGTGTATCTTTTGTTAAGATGGATGAATGTTTCAAGGAATAAATAAGGCTTAATTATTATTATTCTCGAATACGTTAGACTCTTAATAAGAAAGCTAATTTTAGAAATGTCCTTATTCGTTTAAAAAACCTTAAGACAACGGGAATGGACTACTGTCGAAGTAGATATGGGGAGAAATTGGCTTTGCAAAAAATTAATCTGGAAATGTATAGTAAAAACCAAAAACCCTTCCTGTATAGCAATCAAGGCTTAAAATAATTAAATACATCATCAATATATTAATTTAATTAATGAACAAATGATGTAGTGATAAAATAATATAAGAATTGATATGATATAATTCATATGTAACTACTATATAAAATGCTACCTTTTAAAGTCATTATTGCAATCTCTATTGAGACCATAGAAAACGAAATATTTACGTGCCCATATACTTACACAGTACATACGGACATAAAAGCATCAACAGCTTTTAAATACGAAACTGGCGGAAGCTGGGACTGAACTTTCCCGTGCTGAGTAGAAAGTGTAAGCAATGACGTCACACCGAGTGTCACACGCGCTGGCGCAGCGTCCGGCTTAATCCAGAAAGACACCCACTGGAAGAAGAAATTCATCAACAAAAAAGAACTGCACCAACCAAAAGACGAGGTCAGACTCTCTTTTAGCATGGTAGCCATAATTCCACCCGTTGCACTCAGCTTTAAAGTTTATTTCCGTACGCTTAATTAAAACATTTAAAATTGTACCTATGTTCTAATGTTTTTATAAACATCTAACCGAAATATTTTCATACATTTATTTATTTTTGAGCCTACGACAATTGCTTGAAACCACTTGAAACAAATAAAAATAATATATATTTTTTTATTTAATAGAAACTTAATTTTATTTTGGATGATTGTAAAAATGAATGTATAAATTCGTATATTTAAACGAACTACTCCAATTTGATGTCCCTAATTTATTAAATAAACACGTTTTTATTTATACTCTTAGATTATAAAGTACATAATGGTGCAACTTTGTGCCCAAGCAACAATTTAAACATTTTATATGCTACCTTGGCGACTTCTTTTGTTTTACATACTTAATATATTTCTAGTGGCTTGCTTCAACTTTATAATAGACCTAAAATATGAATTATATTATCTTGTTGTAAGCACGATGTTATACAAATTTTTTTTTTTACTAATATTGGTAACGCCCAGCACACTGATACTTTGTTACATAAGAAAAATAAAAACTAAAATAATGGGTTTGAGGAAGAAATTGTTAACGAAACACAGGAAGTAAATTTGCGAAAACCATGAAAAACTGAATTTAAAATGTTATATTTTATAAATTTTCGAATCAAATTGCGCGCTGTGGGACCGGGGACGTGAGCCGCACGTTGGAAACTATCTTGCTTAAAAGGTCATTAAAATGTATATAAATATATAAATTTTGTGGCAACACAATTTAACTGAATACGGTTTTAAAGTAAGGAAGGTATTTATCGTTGCAATGTTAATATCAATTCAGCTAGTAATAAATAATGTTCATAATTATAGGTATTTAGATTTTAATAATAGATAACTTACGGACATTATAACTATGAGACAAGTTGGTATATAGGTGTTGAAGAGGTGGTAACCCAGGCGACGTTTCAGTTTGAAGATCACTTCTAGGCATGTAAAGTTACCTACAAAATAAAATTTAGTTTAGAAGCTATTCGTGTGTGTTGAGCTGGAGGCGAAGCAAGAGATTTCCAAAGGTGAAATACATTAGTCTTCCGGCTTTGCATCGTATATTTTTTAAAGCTTTTTCTCCTTCTGAGGCTCGTTGATCTTTAAAATAAAATTTTCACTAACGATTCAGTAGTTAATACATTACTAACAATCTTCAAAAACATCTTCTCAGACTGTCCTATGCTGAAACGGGATGTATTCTTATTGTGCATCAATATTTTAATTATAAAATGTAATTGATATAAAAATAAATAAATTAAATAAATTTAAATAAATTCATTGATATGTAGAAATTATATTAAATTTTTTTCCGTCAATTTATTTTTAGGATCGTTTAATTATAGACATTTATGTAAAATGTTTGATTGTATGTCAATATATTGTTAATGAATAAATGTATAAATTTATATGTGTCTTGTCTATTTCTTTACCCCTATGTCTCGAACAAGCTCCATTGCTTATCTTCATAAAAGTAATCATCTTTTCTGTGATAGCAATGGCCCTGGGCTTTGTAATGTTGTGAGTCTGTTACATGACTCAATATAGATTGAATCTCAATCAATATAGATACTCATTTCGAAATGTTAGCATAGTACTGTGTAGGCCTCCCACTAAATGTATATACGAGTCTTATCGTATATAGTGTTACAAATAAAAAGCAGTAAATATAAAATGTGCTGATAAGTTAGGAGTTTTGACAGTTTAAATGTAGCGTATAATTAACCAAATATAGACCGTAGCTAAAATTGAATGAAATATAATCTCTAACATATGTTAAATTTCGTGAATTTTTCTGCACCTACTGCTCAGGGGGCGGTTCGTGTATTACGTAAGCAATTTAGGGGGAAGGGGGCTCTCTGCTTTAACATGTCGAATGGAAAAGACTAGCCCACACAGGGAATCTAGGGGCTAGTACACTTTCTTTTTAACTAAACATCTTTGTTTATTATGTTAAAGTTAATTAATTAAAATAAAAACCATAGTATTTTAAATATTAACAATCAACACGGTAGAGGAAAACAGCGCAAGGTTCTTGTCAATTGCTTGATCAAAAACATAGATTTATAGTTTCTGTCAATCAATTACGTGTATATAATAAAATCTGTTTATTTAATAGTCATTGTTCTAGATATTCAACAATTAAAATCAATAATCTAATCTAATCCACGAAACAATCGTACAATCAACATAATCTAGAACAAACATTTGTGGCCCATTTTTCGCGAAGTAGTCTTAAGATAACGAAATTGCTTATCCACTTCGCTTTATTAAGGTTAAATACTCTAATAACCCATAATAGAGCAATTAGCTTAGTGTTTAAGACTGATTCTAAGCCGCGGTCGCGGATTCGAACCCCGTATACAATGGATGTTTCGTCCTATGTGTGGTAACTGGCAATGAGGAAACCGTACACCTTAAACTCAAAATCGTGGACGTATAGGCACACAGTTACTTATTATTATTATTAAGCCTTTATTGCTGACACCCAGTATATAATATATGTAAATTTGTTTTAATACATGAGATGTGCCGGTTTGGTGATCAGTGTGTCTTGTGACACATAGACATCTTCCAGCTGCTTCCATTCTTTTCTATTCTTCTTATTTCGCTTAATCCTAGTATGTCCCAATTTAATTTGAAAGGGATAACTCTAGTTCGGTAAGATTTTCGTGACACTAAGTTGCGTGTAAATAAAAAAAACACGTTGCACTGTAAATCTCCTCGTTTCGGTTTAAAAAACTAAAAAAAAATACCAGTGGCCTACAACCTTCTTGGGTCTGGGCCTCAGATTTCTGTATCAGTTTCATTATCACTTGTCAATCTAATAGGCAAGTAGGTGATCAGCCTCCTGTGCCACACATGCCGTCGACTTTTTGGGTTTAAGGTGAGCCGGTATAGTCACGATGTTTTCTTTCAACGTTCGAGCGAATGTTAAATGCTAGACAAAAAGGTCAGTAATGCCCAGGCGAGGATCGAACCTACGATCTCAGGGACGAGAGTCGCACGCTGAAGCCACTAGGCCAACATTGCTCTTATACCTACCTATATATCGTCTGTAAAAAATCATGAAACAGAATCTGAGGCCGAGGTAAAAAGGTTGTGGCGCCACTGATTTATTTATTTTCTATAGGTATGAGAGTCGTGCAATATTTATATGACAAACGATATTTTGACATCAGCCTTGCGATTCTGTAACTCACTTTTCGAACTCTCACAGCGGCGGTTGCGCTCAAATCAATCGTAAAGCAGTCATTTTACGATTTGGCATTCTGATAAACAATAAACTACAAGCTCCCTCCTTATCAGAATGCCAAATCGTAAAATGACTGCTTCACGACTGATTTGAGCGCGACCGCCGCTGTGAAAGTTCGAAAAGTGAGTTACAGAATAGCAAGGCTGATATGACAATTTTTTTTACATTAACATCATACCAGTAGAGTAGACTTGCGTGCAATCAGCTGTCCTATTCTGCACCAGCTCTAGTTGGGGCAGTTCTATGTTCTCATCCACCACCAGCGGTACTTCGGGGTCCCATTGAAATATCATGTCATCTGTTGTATGGGACACTGAAAAAAATTCAATTAGGTAAATTTCTATTTTGGTTGACAACTATATTGTTTAAACGTATGCCCAATTTCACACAGGCACCATATAATGTCTGTATAGACATAAAGTAGCTTCAAAACTGCGTAGTCATTTTTGAGTTCATCGCGTCTAGAATGTCTATAACTACTTCGATGCGTTCAGTATTGTAACAAAAGCAATATATTTATAGTCCTACGTCCCCCTAATGGGGGGTGGAACTTAGATTCAGGGCATACATGAATAATTCAAATATACAAATTTAAATATTGATAACGTGGTAATTTATGCACGCGAATTAATCGGCAAATTTTCTAAGTAAGCAAAATTATAATGGCTGTTTGAGCGAATTCTTTAGTGATTTAATATTAGGTCAATTGGAAAAAAGTGCTGACTGTGAGATAAAATATAAAATCGATATTCTCAGTCTAAAATTAAAACGCTAACTGTACTCAGAGTCGACTCCAAACTTAAACAGGATAAACTCTAAACGAGACACTGGATATAGGTTTGATTTATGTAGTAGTCGTGAGTGTAAATTATGTACTGTAAGGTACATAATATATATATATATATACTGCTCAAAACAATTAGCGGAACAAGATTTTTCTCCTTTCTATTGCTTAAACTAAAATTAGATTTAAATTAACTTGTACGCTATTTTTTACCTTGTTAATTTGTTAATTACTACAATTAATAAAAGTATTCAATTTGTATTTTTTTTATTAAAAAAAAATTAAAATGTGCATTGTAGACGAAAAACAAAGTGACGTCTTTGAATTTTCATTACTTTCTAATCACAGAAAACACATTTTAAGTAGTTTTTTTCAATCTTTTGAGTATTAATAGAAATTGAAGTGAGCCTTTTGAGTATTGTTATTCATTGAAGGGAGTGAGTTTAGGTCATAATGCCAGATCTGACTGAATTGCATGTCTCCCGAGCTATCGCTTTGCTTGAAGAGGGTCGTACTATGCGTTATGTAGGAAATGATCTAAGAGTATCCCCTTCTGTTATCTACAGACTTTGGAAGCGATACCGTGAGACGGGAGAATACTCACGACGGCGTGGTCAAGGTCGAAAGAGAAAAACTACACGTTTGGAAGATCGCTACATCGTCAACTGTGCTTGTGTAACCGCACCACAACTGCAAAAGATCTACAAAATACACTAAGGACGCCTACTGGTGTAGAAATTTCCGACCAGACGGTAAGAAATAGGTTGTTGGAAGCCAATTTGAGATCACGCCGACCAGTTCGGGCTGTGCGTCTAACAATTCAACATAGACAAGCTCGCCGACAGTTCGCGCAAAATCACGCTAATTGGCTACTTCGACATTGGAGGCTCTCTAAATCTAATTTTAGTTTAAGCAATAGAAAGGAGAAAAATCTTGTTCCGCTAATTGTTTTGAGCAGTATATATAAATTAGCGTTATTTATGTGTTTATTATTTTGTATTACGTTATTTATCATAAATAATTTAGAAGTCAGTTTAAGTGGAAATCTGCACCTATATAATATATATCGATCATAACTCTCTACTCATGTCGTAGGTTCAAACCCTGCCTGTGCACCAGTGGACTTTCTGTCAATGTGCGCATTTAACATTCGCTCGAACGGCGAAGGAAATCATCGTGAGGAAACCGGCTTGCCTTAGACCCAAAATGTTGACGGCGTGTGTCAGGCACAGGCTGATCACCTACTTGCCTATTAGATTGACAAATGATCATGAAACAGATTCAGAAATCTGACGCCCTAAAAAAAAAGGTTGTAGCGCCACTGATTATTATTATAAAACTTATTACTTAAGGTAAACACGATTTTTCTTTGTCGTGATTTCTTATGATTTTGACATACGGGATTCATATATTTCCTAGTTTCGTTCGTTCGAGTTGTATTTCTCAATGTTGACAATCGGCTTTTGTGTGCGATAAGTATTGCAATAAAGAGAGAAAATGTTGCCAGCATTAAAAGTACACTGCCACAGGAGTTAAAAAAATATTTTAGAGTCTGGCTAATGAAAGGAGATAATTGAATTATTTGAAAACTTTCGGATGGCAACACAGAATGTCATTGAATTTCTTAGGTTATTATGATTTATTGTCTTGATAATTCATGCAATTACTCTATTATATTTTTATTATATATTTTTCCGAATAGTTAACAGGTATAATAGCAAATGCAATGCTAGTCATTTTAAGTATCAATAGTAAAAGACTAAATATGTAAAAAATGTAAAAAAATATCAATGTAAAAAATAATAAAATAAAATCAAGTAAGTTTAATCCACAAAATATATCAAACTTTTCGGGATACCATACTAATTTTTTTTTAATTTGCCGCGCTTTTTCGTTATCTTTTTTCATTAGCCAGACTCTAGTTATCCATTTATTCATGTTTAATTATTAATTATTACTTTGTAGTCTAAGAATATTGTATATAATCTTATATATTAAGATTATTTGTGTATTTATAGAGTAGCAAATAGTTACTAATGACAATTCAAACAGACTATTGTCTTAGCAAGCTCAGAAATAATAGCGATTCTGTCCGTAAAGACAGTTCAAACCCTGTTCCGTAAACACTCCGATTTCTCATCATTACTTGACCTAAATCAACGTTATTTTGCTTTTAAACGCAAATAGAAAAGTGGAAACAGTAACCCCAGGTTACAGTTGGATTTTACACTAGAATCACTTTTCCTTTAGTCAAACATAACCCTTTCCGGAACCTCTGATGAGCAGCGTCAGACACCAGTCGAACTCGTCAAGCCTATAGATAAGTTTTTTTAAGGAAGTGAACAATACTAATATAATATGTGATTAATAGTGAGCACTATTGTTCTTTGTTTTTCTTATTTGGTGATTCATTCATTCGTCAACATTAATTATTTACTTTTTTACACATATTACCCACACATTTTCGATGCTTGAAAACGAAATGCATTTTCGAGGATTCCTACAAAAAATTAATACGTTTATGTACTATTATTTTTGAGGGCTTTGTTTGCATTTTCTGACAAGAGGAAGGGGGGGGGGATCAATTGCAGTAAATCTGCAAACGTAATACTTGAACGGCCCCCTATTCCCAGTTTCACTAACCAATTGAACACACAGTTCATAAAATCAGAATTGTTCTAAAATAGATGTTGTCTTTGAAACGTGTCGTATCTCTGTTAATCTATGGCATCTCCGATATTTATAGCGCAGACGTAGACTAGACTATTCTATAGTCTGTGCCATTACAACGTGCTTTTTGTTTTCAAACATCATACGTTGTTTGATAGGACTTATTTAGGTCAAAAGCATTTGACTGTAGATCTGAGGTCATACCATACCATGTGACGCGCCGTAACGTTTTGCCATACCAAATAGTAAAACGTATCGTGACCGTGATCGTGTAAAGTACTGGAAAGTATAATATAAAAATGAACGCGTAATTTAAAACCCGCCCCGGACCGCAACGTTTTACAAGAGGACCCCCCATTCGTTACATAATACTTGAACGCTCCCAAAGCTGTTATAAGTAGGTGTATAGGTGAAGGAGGTGATAGCTGTTATATACCCATCACCTGCAATCCTGGTGAATGTCATGAAAGTGGAGGAAGATGAGGACCATGGCCTCTGCACTCCTTGGGGGAAAAAGCGTAAATAAAATAAATACTCTCTAGGCTTATCGCTTCGGAAATACTTCTATAGTCTATGGTTTCACAAATTGCAGGTCATATTTGAACTTATTAGGTTTTACAGTAACATCATTCACAGCTGAATGGTTATGTGATCGTTAATAGACCTGCTTTTAAATAGTTCAAGATACGAATTATCAGGGCAATTCAACTATAGAATTTTATTATTCAGCTAAGATGTGGTAGCCCCGTATTTATATTAAAGATATTTTGAATATTTATCTAAAAGCATTAAAGTAGTGTCCTTACAAAAGCCATTTGAATAGATGTGAAAAGGTACGTCCGAAAACCGTGTTTTTATAACCTTGAATAAAGCAGACTTCAAAAATACCATTCAAAAATTTCATAATTATAACAAATTAAAGAAAAAAGTTAAATAAAAGAACTAGGGTCATCATTAGTCAAACATCGGCATCTAATTAAAAAATTCTAATTAAAAAAAAACCAAACCAAAATAACTGAAGCACCTCACCTATTTATGGAGTTCTTTCAACACGACATTAAGCTTCAATCACGGCTCTTGACTGATCTTCACGATAAAAATGAGCTGACATCAGAGGCTGAACGGCATTGAGGACCCTTGCCCTACATACCGAATACTCAAGGAATCAATTTTGTATCGCCGACAAAATTTACCTACATTTCCACCACTTGTGCGTATAAGCACCTATTGTATCCTGGGGTTGTTGTTTCCATTTGTCTATTTGCGTTTTAAATAACGTTGAAATAGGTCAAATCATGAGAAGGAGTATTTCGATAACGTAAGCAGAAATCAGATCTTCAAGAACTGAGTTATTATCTAACAAAGAGTCCTTTAAGAAATAAAAAAAATCAGTGGCGCTACAACCTCTTTTTAGGTCTTGGCCTCAGATTTCTGAATCTGTTTCATGATAATTTTTACACCTAATAAGCAAGTAAGTGATCAGCCTCCAGTGCCTGACACACGCCGTCGTCTTTTTTGGGTCTAAGACATGTCGGTTTCGTGTTAAATGCGCACATAGAAAGAAAGTCCATTGGTGCACAGCCGCGTTTCGAACCTACGACCTCAGGTATGAGAGTCGCACGCTCAAGCCACTAGGCCAACACTGCCTAAAGGCAATATTTTTGATAATATTACATGATAGGAAATTTAAATTTTAGAAATCAAAATCGCTATTATTACTTTTCTTGCTAAAACAATAGTCTGTTTGCATAGTCATTGATGAAACTATAGTAAGTTACTACTATAGTAATAATATATGTTTTATGCCAAGGTTACGGCAAATATCATGGGGTCAGAAGCGTCTTTTTCCGTGGATAGTA